CCTGTCTGGACGGTAAGGAGAAACTAGATACTGCCTGTCTGGACGGTAAGGGAGAAACTAGATACTGCCTGTGGACGGTAGGAGAAACTAGATAGCGTCTGGAACGGTGAGAGGAGAGAAACTAGATACTGCCTGTCTGGACGGGAGGGAGAAACTAGATACTGCCCGTCTGGACGGTAGAGGGAGAAACTAGATACTGCCTGTCTGGACGGTAGGGAGAAACAGTTGGCTTTCACTGAAGTGAGTGAGGAGGTATATTACACTGAGCTGCAGCGAGAAGGCACCAACAAGTCACGTTCTCAAGACAACCAGACGAGGGCGCCATTGCCCGGCATGGAAGGAGATCAAAATGTGCTATTTGTCAAAGCACTTATCATTGGGTTAAAGATTGTCCTCATAAAAATGAACAAGTTAAACTAACAGAGGAACATGTAAACCCAGAGATGGAGCAGTGTTAACATTACACTGTTTTCAAACAAATCTGCTTCTGAGATCTTTATAGTTGAATCCTTAGAATCTGCTGTGATTGATACTGCATGTACACGCACAGTGTGTGGTGCGAAATGGCTTGATAGCTACGTCAGTGAACTAAATATGAAAGAAGTACAAAATATGATTGACACACCAAGCAACAGAGCTTTTGGAGATGGGAGAGACATCCATTCTACCAAGAGATTCAAGATACCAGCAAAAATTGGTCAGACAGTGTCACATTGAAACAGATATCCCCTTACGATTAAGCAAAGCTTCCCTCAAGAAGGCAGGGGCTGTGCTAGACATAAAAAATGGCAAGGCAGTGATGTTTAAACAACCAAGTGACCCTCGAACTTTCTACCTCAGGCCACTGTTGTGTAAACATTGTAGACAGACATGTAAAAATGAGATTCTGTCGGACACAGAGCACATGGAGATTCTGACAGGCACAGAGAACATAACCACAGTGGGAAAAACACAAAGTATTGTTGAAACTTCACGAACAGTTTGGACATGCTACAGTTGACAGAGTTCAGAAATGACTCAGCAGTTCTGGGAATAATGACGATGAGAGTATTTCCATTCTACGGCAGATAGTGAGCAGTTGTGAGACATGCCAGAAATACGGCAAACCTAAACTTCAGCGTTCACTGAAGCATTGTTGGAGAGAATTCGCAGGGCTCTGCGTAAACAGTGTCGACCAATAGATGAGAAGTACGAGCCTGGAAACAAAGTGTACTACAAACGAGTTGACTGTCGAGTGGAAATGACCGGGAGTCGGCATTGGCCAAGATGGTGTGGGGATATTTGTGAGGCACGGAGGCACCATTGTCAGGGTGCATCACTCAAGATTGCAGAAAGTAAACGATCAACAAGATGGAGGGGCTGTTGCTGAGAATCAGCCTCCTGCTGAACATGACCAAAAGGACACATTAACAGACACAAACCTACCAGATGTCGCATCCAATGATATATGGACACTGAAACTGACACAGGAAATGGAGCAGAGACCTTCAACCATGACACAGGTAATACTGTTGAGGAAATGAGGAAAATGTTAAACAGCCACATGTGTTAAGACAACGTGGTTGTTCCAATCTGAAAACTGGACAAACTGTTAACTACATGGACAGAGAAAGTGGTATTCCACACACAGCAACCGTCATTGGACGAGCAGGAAAAGCCAAAAGGAAAACACCAGAACTGGTACAACTTGCAGTACTCTGAACCAGCTACACTTTCTGGTACAACCGGGTCAGCTGACCTGGCACTTGTAGATCATCTCAGATTTGAACCAATGGAAAATCGAGAAAGACATTCGAAATGATGTACTTGAAACAAAGGATGTGTCATTTGACTCAGCTAAACTAGATGAGCTCAGTAATTGGAGGAAAAATTGAGTGTTTTGAGGAAGTCAAAGACGTTGGCCAAAAATGTGTCTCAACAAGGTGGGTGTAATACCCTTAAAGGATCCTTAACTGGAATACTGCCAAAAGCATGTCTGGTGGCCAGAGGTTTTGAGGGGCTGGCTGCTGAAGAACTCCCAAAAGACTCACCAACATGCACCTCAGTCACTCAGATTGCTGCTGACAGTGATCTGCCAGAAAAAATCAAGACTTCATTCCATAGACATCAAATCTGCATTTTTGCAGGGAACAGAGCTGTCAAGGGACATTCACATCCGTCCTCCGCCTGAAGCTAAGCGCGAAGGAACACTGTGGAAACTAAAGAAGTGTGTGTTCAGCCTGGCAGATGCATCACTCTACTGGTACAACAAAGTCAAGGCAGCGATGCTGAGTACAGGTGGAGAAATATCACAAGTGGATCCTGCAGTCTTCTATTGGCTTGATCAAGACTGCAATGTGACTGGAGTTCTTGCCTGTCATGTTGATGACTTTATCTGGGGTGGCTCACAGACCTTTGCTACAACTGTGATTCCACCCCTCAAAGCGGTTTTCCTGGTCGGTCACAAAGGAACAGCTTGCTGACTGACTAAAAGGGGAGCATCCGGTCTTGTGCTCCTAAAGGCACTCAGTAATGGAAAGTGGCAGCTTGAGTAATAAAAATACACTTTGTCACACAATTTATTTGTAATGGGGAACTTAAATAATATTTGGGACATTTAATTATTTTGTTTTATTTGTCTTTAAAGAAAAAGTGGGATGTCCATTTCCGTCTTCCATGTCTCTCCCTCTAGTGGGCTGTCCTTCTTCCTCTCTCCTAGTGGCTGTCCTTTTCCGCTCTCCAGTTCCTCCACTGTGGGCTGTCCTTCTCCGTCTCTCTCTAGGGGGCTGTCTTTCCGTAGGCTGCTCTTCTCCTCTAGTGGCTGTCCTTTCTCTGGACTCTCTCTAGTGGGCTGTCCTTTCTCCGTCTCCCTCTAGTGGCGTCTTTCTCTCCGTCTTCCTAGTGGCGCTTTCCTTTCATCTCGTCTCTCCTCTGTGGGCCTGTCCTTATCTCCTTTCTCTCTCTTAGTGGGCTGTCCTTTCTCCGTCTCTCCTCTAGTGGGCTGTCCTTTCTCCGTCTCTCCTCTAGTGGGCTTGTCCTTTCTCCTCCTCTCCTCTAGTGGGCTGTCCTTTCTCCGTCTCTCCTCTAGTGGGCTGTCCTTTCTCCGTCTCTCCTCTAGTGGGCTGTCCTTTCTCCGTCTCTCCTCTAGTGGGCTGTCCTTTCTCCGTCTCTCTCTTCTCCTCTAGTGGGCTGTCCTTTTCTTTCCTAGTCTTCTCTCCTTCTCAGTGGGCTGTCCTTTCTCCGTCTCTCCTCTAGTGGGCTGTCCTTTCTCCGTCTCTCCTCTAGTGGGCTGTCCTTTCTCCGTCTCTCCTCTAGTGGGCTGTCCTTTCTCCGTCTCTCCTCTAGTGGGCTGTCCTTTCTCCGTCTCTCCTCTAGTGGGCTGTCCTTTCTCCGTCTCTCCTCTAGTGGGCTGTCCTTTCTCCGTCTCTCCTCTAGTGGGCTGTCCTTTCTCCGTCTCTCCTCTAGTGGGCTGTCCTTTCTCCGTCTCTCCTCTAGTGGGCTATCCTTTTCTCCACTATCTATCTCCCTGTTTTTGTACTGAGTGGCTGAATTCTCTGGATGCCTCTTCCCGATAGCTAAATAACCCAACCTTCGATTCGGTTGTTTAGGGCTGAGGAAGAGGGGGGGCGGGGGGGCTCGATTCGGTTGTTTAGGGCTGAGGAAGAGGGGGGCCCGGGGGGGGGGGCGGAGGGGCTCGATTCGGTTGTTTAGGGCTGAGGAAGAGGGGGGCCGGGGGGTTTCTGTCTTATTTGTATTGACTCTGGGTTTTGGAAGATCAAGATGTTTTTACTGTCTTTCTTCTGTATTGTTTTTAAATCAGCTGGAAATGTAAATATTTGGGACAATTGTGCTTTCTGAAACTTCTTCTCCCCTTCCTGTAGGGATGTATATGGACCGGCGGTGTGTCTACTACCGTAAGCCCCTGTTGGAGTCCGGTACTCTGGGTACCAAGGGCAACGTCCAGGTGGTGATCCCCTTCCTGACGGAGTCATACAGCTCCTCCCAGGACCCCCCAGAGAAGTCCATCCCCATCTGCACACTGAAGAACTTCCCCAACGCCATCGAGCACACACTGCAGGTTGGTACGCACACTGCAGGTTGGTACAGGAGAAAAATACTTGTACATTGTCCCATAGCTGTCCTGTCTAACCGGTGTGACGGATGTCCTCTCTAACCGGTGTGACGGATGTCCTCTCTAACCGGTGTGACGGATGTCCTGTCTAACCGGTGTGACGGATGTCCTCTCTAACCGGTGTGACGGATGTCCTGTCTAACCGGTGTGACGGATGTCCTGTCTAACCGGTGTGACGGATGTCCTGTCTAACCGGTGTGACGGATGTCCTGTCTAACCGGTGTGACGGATGTCCTGTCTAACCGGTGTGACGGATGTCCTGTCTAACCGGTGTGACGGATGTCCTGTCTAACCGGTGTGACGGATGTCCTGTCTAACCGGTGTGACGGATGTCCTCTCTAACCGGTGTGACGGATGTCCTCTCTAACCGGTGTGACGGATGTCCTCTCTAACCGGTGTGACAGATGTCCTCTCTAACCGGTGTGACGGATGTCCTCTCTAACCGGTGTGACGGATGTCCTCTCTAACCGGTGTGACGGATGTCCCTCTCTAAACCGGTGTGACTGATGTCCTCTCTAACCGGTGTGACAGATGTCCTCTCTAACCGGTGTGACTGATGTCCTCTCTAACCGGTGTGACTGATGTCCTCTCTAACCGGTGTGACTGATGTCCTCTCTAACCGGTGTGACGGATGTCCTCTCTAACCGGTGTGACGGATGTCCTCTCTAACCGGTGTGACAGATGTCCTCTCTAACCGGTGTGACGGATGTCCTCTCTAACCGGTGTGACTGATGTCCTCTCTAACCGGTGTGACGGATGTCCTCTCTAACCGGTGTGACTGATGTCCTCTCTAACCGGTGTGACGGATGTCCTGTCTAACCGGTGTGACTGATGTCCTCTCTATATGCAGTGTGTGATGTGTATGGTAACTGTCCTCTCTCCTCTCCAGTGGGCCCGTGATGAGTTTGAGGGTCTCTTTAAACAGCCATCAGAGAATGCCATGCAGTACCTCACGTAAGTCTCTTTCTGTCTGAAGTCTCATAGCTGCTACTCTTCTGAGTTCCTAGAGTCTTGTGCATTATTACATTTCTGAAGCTGCCTGGAGCCTCTAGACGTGTTGGAGGCCGTCTAGAAGAGTTTAATATTAGTTACATTAACGTTATATGAATGTTTTATGAACCAGAGATCCCAAGTTCCTGGAGAGGACCCTGAAGCTTCCTGGAGCCCAGCCTCTAGACGTGTTGGAGGCCGTCTATAAGAGTCTGGTGACTGACTGCCCTCGCAGCTGGGCCGACTGTGTCGTCTGGGCTCGGCACCACTGGCAGTGCCAGTACAGCAACAACATCCATCAACTACTGCACAACTTCCCCCCAGAACAGGTACAGAGAACACTGTTACACACACACACACACACACTGTTACACACACACACACTGTTATACACACACACACACTGTTACACACTGTTACACACACACACACACACACACACACACACACACACTGTTACACACTGTTATACACACACACTGAGTGTACAAACCATTAGGAACACCTGCTCTTTCCATGACATAGACTGACCAGGTGAATCCAGGTGAAAGCTATGATCCCTTATTGATGTCACTTGTTAAATCCACTTCAATCAGTATAGATGAAGGGGAGGAGACAGGTTAAAGAAGGATTTTTAAGCCTTGAGACAATTGAGACATGGATTGTGGTCCTCTGTAGCTCAGCTGGTAGAGCACGGCGCTTGTAACGCCAAGGTAGTGGGTTCGATCCCCGGGACCACCCATACACAAAAATGTATGCACGCATGACTGTAAGTCGCTTTTGATAAAATTATATATTATTATTATTATTATTATTATTGTGTATGTGTGCCGTTCAGAGGGTGAATGGGCAAGACAAATGATTTAAGTGCCTTTGAACGGGGTACGGTAGTAGGTGCCAGGCGCACCGGTTTGTGTTAAGAACTTCAACTCTACTGGGTTTTCACGCTCAACAGTTTGTCTATCAAGAAGGGTCCGTCACCCAAAGGACATCCAGCCATCTTGACACAACTGTGGGAAGCATTGGAGTCAACATGGGCCAGCATCCCTGTGGAACGCTTTCGACACCTTGTAGAGTTCCTGACCGACTGATTTAGGCTGTTCTGAGGGCAACAGGGGTGCAACTCAATGTTAGTGATGTGGTGGTAATGTTTTGTCCACTGCGTTTATACACAGGCTGGACAGTCATACAGTTACCATGCCTGACTATTATCATGCTCTCCCTCCTCTCATTCGCTTTCTCTCTCTCTCCCCCACTTCTCTCTCTCCCCCACTTCTCTCTCTCCCACACTTCTCTCTCTCCCCCACTTCTCTCTCTCCCACACTTTCTCTCTCTTCTCCTCTCCCTCCCACTTTCTCTCTCTCCCACTCTTTCTCTCTTCCTCCCCCTCTTTCTCTCTCCCCCTCTTCTCTCTCTCCCCCTCTTTCTCTCTCTCCACCACTCTTTCTCTCTCCCCCCCACTTTCTCTCTCTCCCCCCACTTTCTCTCTCTCTCTCTCTCCCCCCACTTCCTTTCTTTATCCCCCCCACTTTCTCTCTCGCTCTCTCTCCCCCCACTTTCTCTCTCTCCTCTCGCATCCCCCTCTCCTTTCTCAGCTGACCAGCTCTGGCGCCCCCTTCTGGTCCGGTCCAAAGAGATGTCCTCACCCTCTAGAGTTCAGCACCAGCAACGTGAGTACTTTCTTCTCTCTCTCTCCCCTCCCTCCTCCCTCTCCCTCTCTCTCTCTCTCTCTCGCTCCCTCTCCCAGCCCCTTCTACCTCTCCCTTTCTCTCTCACACTTTCTCTCAATGTTAGATGAAAGTCTCTTTCTCTCTCTCATGCAGCTCCTACAGTCCTCCCTCTCTAGACCTCCATTGGACTTGTGATGGCTCTACAGTCTCCCTCTCTAGGACCTCCATTGGCTATGTAGGGTAACAGTCTCCTCTCTAGCCTCCATATGCTAGTGATGCTCTAACAGTCTCCCTCTCTAGGACCTCCATATGGACTATGTGATGGCTCTAACAGTCTCCCTCTCTAGGACCTCCATATGGACTATGTGATGGCTCTAACAGTCTCCCTCTCTAGGACCTCCATATGGACTATGTGATGGCAGGAGCCAACCTGTTTGCCCAGTCGTACGGCATGCAGGGCTCTACTGACCGTGTCGGCGTGGCTAAGATCCTGGACAGCCTATCGGTGCCCACCTTTGTCCCCAGGTCAGGGGTCAAGATCCACGTCTCTGACCAGGAGCTGCAGAGCGTCAACGCCAACGTCGGTGAGGAGAGGGCTTTTACATTTCCACAGGTCATCTATACGTCTAGTGATGTTTATAGTCAACACTTCTAGTTGCATTTATAGTGATCGGTGCTTTTCCCTGTAGTGACGTCGAAAGTCAATGAATATAAACCAATTATAGCAGAGTCGCAGGAGCATGTGGAACTAAGAAAGCCTCTAGAAATGAGACATCTGTTATTAATGCATTTGCCACAGAATGAAAGGCTTCCAAAACATGAAGGCAAGACTGAACGGAGAGAAGCCATGTTTCTTTGAGTTGTTTAGTGTTGTATTAAATGACTACTGAGAGTGAACAATCCCAGTTAGGATTAGAGTATGTTTATTATTATGTGTATCAAGACAGGTCCCACTTCTCACCGCCGGCCATGTGAGACTGACCCTACGACATGCCCCTGTCTCATTGGCCAGTTTCCCTGTCTGTCGGACTAACCTTCGGATGTGTGTCTCTCTGTGCGGTGTGTCTGCGGGGTGTGTGTGTGTGTGTCTGCGTGGTGTGTGTGTCTGCGGGGTGTGTGTGTGTGGTCTGCGTGGTGTGTGTGTGTCTGCGGTGTGTGTGTGTGGTGTGTGTGTCTGCGTGGTCTGCGTGGTGTGTGTCTGCGGTGTGTGTGTGTGTGTCTGCGGGGTGTGTGTCTGCGGTGTGTGTGTGTGTGTGTGTCTGCGGTGTGTGTGTGTCTGCGGTGTGTGTGTGTGTGTGTGTGTGGTGTGGTGTCTGCGGGGTGTGTGTCTGCGGTGTGTGTGTGTGTGTGTGTGTGTCTGCGGTGTGTGTGTGTGTGCGGTGTGTGTGTGTGTGTGTGTGTGGTCTGCGTGGTGTGTGTGTGTGTGTGTCTGCGGGGTGTGTGTGTGTGTGTGTGTGTAGATGACAACAGGCTGGAGGAGCTGAAGACTCTGCTGCCTGGACCTGAAGCTTCTTCTCAGTTTAAACTCACTGCCATCGACTTTGAGAAGGTATAGAACTCTCCCTCTACTCCTATCTCTCTCCCTCTACTCTTATCTCTCTCCCTCTACTCCTTATCTCTCTCCCTCTACTCCTATCTCTCTCCCTCTACTCCTATCTCTCTCCCTCTACTCCTATCTCTCTCCCTCTACTCCTATCTCTCTCCCTCTACTCCTATCTCTCTCCCCTACTCCTCTCTCTCCCTCTACTCCTATCTCTCTCCCTCTACTCCTATCTCTCTCCCTCTACTCCTATCTCTCTCCCTCTACTCCTATCTCTCTCCCTCTACTCTTATCTCTCTCCCTCTACTCTTATCTCTCTCCCTCTACTCTTATCTCTCTCCCTACTCTATCTCTCCCTCTACTCTTATCTCTCTCCCTCTACTCCTATCTCTCTCCCTCTACTCCTATCTCTCTCCCTCTACTCCTATCTCTCTCCCTCTACTCCTATCTCTCTCCCTCTACTCCTATCTCTCTTAACTCTACTCCTATCTCTCTCCCTCTACTCCTATATCTCTATTTTCTCCACCTCTCTTCCTTTTTCCCACATCTCTCTCTTCTCACCTACAACACATTTCAAGACCATGTATTTTGTGGTTCCCCCTCAAACGTTCTGTTGGTGTATTAACTGTGACTGTGTATTCTGTATGTTCCAGGACGATGACTCCAACTTCCACATGGACTTCATTGTGGCTGCTTCCAACCTGAGAGCAGAGAACTACAACATTCCCCCTGCAGATAGACACAAGGTGTGGACGTACACACACACACTCTCCCTCTTACACACACATTCCCCCTGTAAACAGAAACAAGGTACACACACTGACTTGTATCTCTGTCTCTGGCTCTGTCTCTGGCTCTCTGTCTGTCTCTGTCTCTGTCTGTCTCTGGCTCTGGCTCTGTCTGTCTCTGTCTGTCTCTGGCTCTGTCTCTGTCTGTCTCTGTCTCTGGCTCTGGCTCTGTCTCTGTCTGTCTCTGGCTCTGTCTCTGTCTGTCTCTGGCTCTGTCTCTGTCTGTCTCTGTCTGTCTCTGTCTCTGTCTCTGTCTCTGTCTGTCTCTGTCTGTCTCTGGCTCTGTCTGTCTCTGTCTCTCTGTCTGTCTCTGGCTCTGTCTGTCTCTGGCTCTGTCTGTCTCTGGCTCTGTCTGTCTCTGTCTGTCTCTGGCTCTGTCTGTCTCTGTCTCTGTCTCTGGCTCTCTGTCTGTCTCTCTGTCTGTCTCTGTCTGTCTCTGGCTCTGTCTGTCTCTGGCTCTGTCTGTCTCTGGCTCTGTCTGTCTCTGTCTCTCTGTCGGTCTCCCTCTGTCTCTCTGTCGGTCTCCCTCTCTCGTCTCCAGAGTAAGCTGATAGCTGGTAAGATCATTCCTGCGATAGCGACCACCACGGCGGCGGTCGTGGGTCTGGTGTGTCTGGAGCTCATCAAGATCGTTCAGGGACACAAGAAGTTGGAGTCGTTTAAGAACGGCTTCATGAACCTGGCACTCCCTTTCTTCGGTTTCTCAGAACCCATCGCTGCTCCCAGCCACAAGGTAGGACAGGAGGAGGTGCGAGGGTGTGTGAGCGCGGGGGGGTGTGTGAGAGCGCGGGGGGGTGTGAGAGCGCGGGGGGGGGGGGGTGGGGGAGAGCGCGGGGGGGTTGGGTGAGAGGCGTGGGGGGTTTTGAGAGCGCGGGATGGGGGTGTTGAGAGCGCGGGGTGGTGTGTTGGAGAGCGCGGGGGGGGTGTTGAGAAGCGGGGGGTGGTGTGTGAGACGGGGGTGTGGAGCGGGGGGGTGTGTGAGAACGCGGGGGGGTGTGTGAGAGCGCGGGGGGGGGGGGGTGTGGAGAGGCGGGGGGGTGTGAAGCGCGGGGGGGTGGTGAGACTCGGGGGGTGTGTGAGACGCATGGGGGGGGGTGAAGCTGTTAGAGCGCGGGGGGGGTGAGGGGTGTGAGACGCGGGGGGTGTGTGAGAGGAGGGGGGGGGGGGTGAGGAGACCGCGGTGGGGTTTCGGGTTTTTGTGAGAGCGCGGGGGGGTGTGTGAGAGCGCGGGTGGGGTGTGGCGCGGGGGGTGTGTGAGAGCGGGGGGTGTGTGATAGTGTAAGACGGGGCTCCCCAGTAGACGGCCCGCAGGTGATTTTTATTTGGCCCCCAAAGTTTTCTGACTGAAAAAAATAAGCTCAAAGTGATTTAAATTCCCACTTATAAATAGAGGCATATGTGATGGTATCCCGACATAATCAATGTTTGTGGTCAATTTGCAGTGTACAAATTATTTATAACTACACTGAACAAAAATATAAACTCAACATGTAAAGTGTTGGTCCCATGTTTCATGAGCTGAAATAAAATATCCCAGAAATGTTCCATACGCACAAAATGCTTATTTCTCTCAAATGTTGTGCACAAATTTGTTTACATCCCTGTTAGTGAGCATTTATCCTTTGCCAAGATAACCCATCCACCTGACAGGTGTGGCATATCAAGAAGCTGATTAAACAGCATGATCATTACACAGGTGCACCTTGTGCTGGGGACAATAAAAGACCACTCTAAAATGTGCAGTTTTGTCACACAACACAATGCCACAGATGTGTCAAGTTTTGAGGGAGCGTGCAATTGGCATTCTGACCGCAGGAATATCCACCAGAGCTGTTGCCAGAGCCAGCCTCAACCGCAGACCACGCCAGCCCAGGACCTCCTCATCCGGTTACTTCACCTGCGGGATCGGGTGTGGGGCTGTGCTGAGGAGAATTTCTGTCTGTAATAAAGCCCTTTTGTGGGGATAGACTCATTCTGATTGGCTGGGCCTGGCTCCCCAGTGACTGCGCCCCTGCCCAGTCATGTGACATCCATAGATTAGGGCTTAATGAATTTATTTTAATTGACTGATTTCCTCATATGAACTGTAACTCAGTAAAATCTTTGAAATTGTTGGTCTAGGAACAAAACACTGAGCATTGAGCAGTATCAAGGGGCCACTTCATAACTACATGTCAGGTATTTGTGTTAGGCAGGGGCCATTCATTTAGTGTTTGTCTGTACCTCTAACAGATTCTTCTGTCCCCACACTTCTCTGCCTCCCTCACTCTCCCCATCCATCTCTCTTTCTCTCTGGCTCACTCCATCTCTCCTTCCATCTTTCTCACTCATCTCTCCTTCCATCTTTCCTTCCATCTTTCTCACTCCATCTCTCCTTCCATCTTTCTCACTCATCTCTCCTTCCATCTTTCTCACTCCATCTCTCCTTCCATCTTTCCTTCCATCTTTCTCACTCATCTCTCCTTCCATCTTTCCTTCCATCTTTCTCACTCCATCTCTCCTTCCATCTCTCCTTCCATCTTTCTCACTCCATCTCTCCTTCCATCTCTCCTTCCATCTTTCCTTCCATCTTTCTCACTCATCTCTCCTTCCATATTTCCTTCCATCTTTCTCACTCCATCTCTCCTTCCATCTTTCTCACTCCATCTCTCCTTCCATCTCTCCTTCCATCTTTCTCCTCCCTCATCACTCTCTCCCTCCATAGTACTATGAGATTGACTGGTCGCTGTGGGATCGTTTTGAGGTGAAGGGTCTGCAGCCCAGTGGAGAGGAGATGACACTCCGACAGTTCCTCGACTACTTCAAGGTACGCCTGCCCCTCATGATGTTTCCATTCTAAGCTTAAATTCAGTATTTGTTTCTTTAACATGTTTCTCTCCATCCCTCCTTCCCCTGTAGAATGAGCATCAGTTGGAGATCACCATGCTGTCTCAGGGAGTCTCCATGCTCTACTCCTTCTTCATGCCTGCAGCTAAACTCAAGGAGAGGCTGGTGCTGCCGTGAGTCACAACTAACCCTATACTGTCATCATCTAGAACTAACCCCATACTGGCATCATCTAGAACTAACCCCATACTGGCATCATCTAGAACTAACCCCATACTGGCATCATCTAGAACTAACCCCATACTGGCATCATCTAGAACTAACCCCATACTGTCATCATCTAGAACTAACCCCATACTGGCATCATCTAGAACTTTACATTTACATTTTACATTTTTAGTCATTTAGCAGACGCTCTTATCCAGAGCGACTTACAGTTAGTGAATACATATTTATTTTTATTTTTTATACTGCCCCCCCGTGGGAATCGAACCCACAACCCTGGCGTTGCAAACGCCATGCTCTATCAACTGAGCTACATCCCTACCGGCCATTCCCTCCCCTACCCTGGACGACGCTGGGCCAATTGTGCGCCGCCCATGAGTCTCCCGGTCGCGGCCGGCTGCGACAGAGCCTGGATACGAACCAGGATCTCTAGTAGCACAGATAGCACTGCGATGCAGTGCCTTAGACCACTGCGCCACTCAGGAGACTAACCCCATACTGGCATCATCTAGAACTAACCCCATACTGGCATCATCTAGAACTAACCCCATACTGGCATCATCTAGAACTAACCCTATACTGTCATCATCTAGAACTAACCCCATACTGTCATCATCTAGAACTAACCCCATACTGTCATCATCTAGAACTAACCCCATACTGGCATCATCTAGAACTAACCCTATACTGTCATCATCTAGAACTAACCCCATACTGGCATCATCTAGAACTAACCCATACTGGCATCAATCTAGAACTAACCCCCATACTGGCATCATCTAGAACTAACCCTATCTGTCATCATCTAGAACTAACCCCACTGGCATCATCTAGAAATAACCCCATACTGTCATCATCTAGAACTAACCCCATACTGGGGCATCATCTAGAACTAACCCCCTACTGGCTCATCTAGAAATAACCCCATACTGGATCATCTAGAACTAACCCCATCTTCAATACAGAAACTAACCCCATTGCATCATCTAGAAAAACCCCATACT